GGTAAAGAAGTTTATAATTTATTATAATATAGTTAGCCGTTGTTAACATACTGTAAAAAAATTTATTATTAACTATAAATCGGTGGGCTATTAGACAATTGGTGGTAAATTTACTCCCTACCATTTCATAGTTCATATTAATAGAATGGGCGAAAGTGAACAAATTCTCCCCTTCTTTTCTTGGAATGGAAAAAATGGAAACAGCGGCGTCTCTACAGTGCAAATGCAAGATGTTTGGGTGGAGTTTTCGTATTCACTGTGTTTCTCCGTTCCGCTTAACGTAGTTTTTATGTATTTCGATTTGGCCTCGGTGTAGCGATAACAATCTATTAAGATTTTAAAAATTTATATTATAGTTATTGTAAGATGTAAATTTTAAAGCAATTTTACTGAATTATCAATTTTTAAGTTGCGTTCCTAACTATATTACCATTGTTCTTTGGATATGGCAATATTAGCTTTCGTTCTTAAAGTATTAAATCCTGTAACATTAAATCATCTTCATTTATATTCTCTAAATTTTACAAAATTTTCTTGCACAGCTAGGGTACATGAGAAATTCAATAATTTCATTTCAGCAATATTTTATATTTCATTATTTTTCTATCTATTTTTTTATTAATTAAAATCAAATGGATATGTAAAGTATTTACTATATTGTATGTAATAATATATAAACACAGTATATAATACTAATATAAATATCTACAAAAATATACTAAACCGATATGTGTATATCTACATTAATTTCTTAAGATTTTAATTTTTCAATTATGTACATTGGAAGTTAAGAATTTCTCTATATTTTTTTCATGTATACAGGAATTTTTCATTGTAGTATGTACTTACATGTTGTGTGTATGTTTGCATATTGTATAATAATAATATATTTTCAGAAAATTTAAAGAATATTTACCTATGTATGTATAAGAAAATAATAAAACTGGTAAAAATAGGAAAAGAAAAGAAAACAAAAGAAAAAAACAAATAAAAATTAAATGAAAAATTAAATAGGATACTAGCCAAGGTGTCCAGACACTTCGATTAATCAACAAATTATTTAAGCTTTAACACTTGCACAATATATATTATATGCATATGTATAACAGTATACCTATATAACAATTGCTATATATCTATAATATTTTATTTACATTCTATAAACTTGTTATTCTCACTAAAAATTTACTAACTTGTATGTAACTACATAATATATATATATGTTCACATTACAAAATAAATTCGTATATATAGCATAAAAGAGTGCACGCAGTAGTATTTATGTATATATGCATGCTTGTGTATATAGTTGAAATACAAAATATTACAGTAATATAAAGAGAGATGCTTAATGGAGCATTAAATGAATAAAGAAATGAGTTTTTCATTCCGCTTAATTTCCGTTCGTGGGTGGTGATGGTATGGTGGAATTTAGTCCCCATCATATTATAATAATTTTTCTTCTAAATTATGTATATATGTGTATATATTTTATTTTCAAATTTTTTATTGTTTGATTTTCTATAAAATATAAAAGTATATATTTTTAAAAGATATAAATATATACATAATAATGGTGTTAAATTAATTGTTATACATATACATATATATATAATATAAAATAACAATAGATGAATATTCGAATTGTATATATTTAGACTATTTTGTATTATATTATGTATAACGATTGTACCTATTGGGCAAATTTTTGTTTGTTTGTATGAACTTAATTTCTATTACGAATTGTTATACTCTGTTATACAATATATATTTGCTTAAGTAACAGAAACAATATTGAAAATTTGTTATTCAGGGTATAAATATGTATATATAGATATATATAAACCCTCAAAAACAGTATATATATATATATATATATATATATATATGTAGAGAAAATCTTTCGAAATTCTTTTTGTAAATTTTTATTCGATTTCTTTAATTTTTTTTTGTTATATTTTTTTTTTTCTTTCTTGTTTTTTCTATTTTTTTTTATTACCTTTTTAATTAATTGACGATATATTCATTTATATTTTATTATAACCCTGACACTTTAAAGATTTTTGAATTAAAGGTTTATTGTTGTTTAAGCATATAGTAGCGTTTAGCGTAAAATATGTCACAATTGTTTGAAGAATGAAACCATAGTATAATAGTTTCTTTGTATAGATTCAAAAATTATTTTTATAGTAGATTGGGAATTATTTCATTTTTTTGTTTTTTCAAAATTTAAAAGTATATTATGATTGTTTGAGTGTTTGTTGAGATGAAGCTAATTTAGTAATCTATTTATTCGATTTCATTTCATTCACTGTTTATTTATCAGTTCCCTCGAATTAAGTTATAAGGTTAAAAATATTTTAAAGAGAATGTCAAGTATATTAAGTTCATATAAATTTTTTTTTTTGTGTACATTTTAATGTACAAGTATTTTTGAATATTTTATGGAAAATATATGTAGTAAATTTTAGAAATTTAAAGTTAAATATTCAATCCTATCAAGAATTCCGTTCGTAACACTAAGCAATTCGGAAAATTACGAATTTCATATTGTCAATTCTGAATTACTATAAAACTCTGCTCCGAATATACGTAATAGAGTAATTGTAAATTACGTTCATTGCAAAAAATTGCTAATTCATAATGTCTACGAGTGGTATTTTCTGGTCACTCAAAAGTCTACGTTGTAATTTATAATATGTAGGAATAGGGGATACGTAGGATAGGAGAGGAATTCGTGATAGGGCTGATTATCACTATATTAAAACTATCTTATCAAATGACAACAGTAAGGAAAATGAAGGAAGAGTTGCTTGGACACTACTTTACTTAAACCAATTAGATTGTCTATGAAAATTAACATCATAACAGGAGAATGAAAAAAAAAAAATTTATGGTATTTTATCTATTTGTTTTGGGTCAGAAATTTTACAATTATGACCACAAATGTTGATAATGCTACCGATTGTTAGTTGAATTGAACGAAATTTTGCAGTTTTATCTGTATACACGGTATTCTAACTTATTATTGTAAGTTTTGCTAATATAATTTTATTTTTTTAGTTTATTCTAGAGTTTTCATTGCTTTCTATAAAATTTTTATACTTACTGTAAAGTTCATAAAAAATATTATATTTTTATTAAATACTAAAAGCTAAATAATTTTTTTTTAAAATTGAAAATAAAAAAACAATTTTTAATTTTTTTTTTTTAAATAATTTTTTTTTTTTTTTGTATTTTTTAATATGATAATTTTTATTTTTCTTAAATTCATTTTCTTTTATTTTTTCTTTTCATTTTTTTTTATTTTTTTTTTGTATTTCTATATATTATATATAAATATATGTATATATATATATATATATATATATATATATATATATATATATCATATATATATAAACTTTTTTTTAAGTTTCTTCTTATTTTATAAATAATAAGAAATAATAATAATATTTTTATATATAATACGATTTCTATTTTGTTTTAAAATCCATTCTTTTTTCTATTTTAATATAATAAGTGTAATAATTATAATAATAATGATAATTATATAATAATAATCAATAATAAAACTAAAATATTATATGGAGTTTTTCTTTTTTTTTTTATATTATTCTATATGGTTTACTTTATTATTTTTTAAGTTGTTTGTAATATTTTGGCAGAATGAACAAAAAAAAAACAATATTCCAGATATTTATAAATAATAATTTTTGTTTTTTAAATATTTTCTTGAAAGATTTCAACTTTATTTATGAGATCGACAATTTTATATTTTTAAATTTTTTTTTTTAATTTTTTCATTTTTTTTTTTTAAAGTTTTGTTTGTTATTATATAATAATTATTATCATAATTTTTTCTTGCATTAATCGTGTTTTTTTTTTGTCTAATTTTTTTTTTGTTTTTTATATTGAATAAATACTTAAAATGGAAGTACTATAAAACTTAAGTTGCTACAAAAAAAAAAAAAAAAAAATAAAAAAATAATATTAAAATGAAAATATTTATTTTACTTTAACTAAATAACATGTGTGATTATGTATATGTATTTCATTCGATGCAAAGCATCACAATATTTTATTTATTTTTTAAATTTTTTTTTTGTTTTCTTTTATTAATAAGTTAAATTTAATTTAATTATATATATATAGAATTTTATTTATTATTTGAATAATAATAATAAAAAGAGTTTTTTTTTTAACAAAACAGAAATAAAATAATATTAATGATAATTTTCTTAAATTAATTTTTTTTTTATTATTATTATTAATTAATTAATTAATTAATTATTAATTCAAATTTGATTTAGAAATATTTTTTTTTATATTTTATTAATAATTTTTATTTCTTATCCATAAATATTTTCTTTTTTGTTATATATAAAGTTCTAATTCTTATTAATTTATTTTTAAATTTATTGATTAATTTATTATTTATTTTGTATTGAATATATTTTATTTACAAATTTTGAATATTTTTTTCTTATTTAATTTTCAATTTTTTTTTTCTTTCTTTTGTTTTAATTGTTATTTAAAATTTAAGGATTTTTATTTTTTTTATTTTTGTTGTTTTTAAGCTATTTTGTATGATGGGATGGAAAACCGTACAAAAAACGATCACAATAATTAAAATTTATTAAATATATGTATGAATTATAAAATTATGTAAAAGGTATTAAAAAAAAAAAATAAAAAAAAAATAATTAAAAAAAAAATTAAATAAAAATATTTTTTTTTTTATATAAATAAGTGTTATACAAATAACTGTTATACTATATAACTGTTATACTATATAACTGTTATACTAATAACTGTTATACTAATATGTTATCAAGTGTTGTGTACCTATAATCATATATATATATATATATATATATTATAAAGATTTTGTTTTTATTTTAAAATATAAAATATAATATAATAATAATTATGTAATAATTATTATAATTATAACATTTTGTAAATGCATTTTAATAAAAATTAAAAAATTTTTAAAAGTTTTATGATGTGTTTGTTTTTTTTTTTTGTTGTTGTATAAGGATAACATAATAATATTCTATTGATTTTTTGTTTCTTTTTTGTTTCATTATTTTAAAACAACAAAAATATACAATGTATTTCATTTAATTAAACAAAATAAAAAGAAAAATAATCACAATTTGTTCAATTAAAAAATGAATTTTTATAAGTGCAATAAATTATTTAAATATTTTTTTCTGTAATTTTAGTTTTAAAATTTATATTTAATTTAAATTAGTTTTTAACCTGCATACGCCTTTCAATATAAAATTCAAGTGTTAAAAAAAATATTTTCAAAGAATATTTTTAAAAATCATTATTAAAAATTTGTTTAATTTTTCATTATTAGAATTAAAAGAAATTAGAAAATTATTGTAGGAAAATAAAGTAATTTGTCACATATACAATATAACTTAACCTTGAGAAACCTCAACAAGTTGTATTGAGGTAATGAAAATGTTACTGTAGGCAATTACGCATTTAAAAATTAAAAAAAAAAACTAAATTATGATTAAAATTGGAAGACCGTTTTACCAAAATTCTAAAACTAGATTTCTGATTTTACTCATAAAATTTTTAACATTTTTCAGTTTCATTTATAAGTAAATCAAATTGATATTGCTATATTGAGGCAAGATTGTTGGCTTTTTGGTTGCATTGTTAGATGATCTAATACACATAATATCAGAATAAAAATTTAATTTAGTGATTTTTTTATTATTTTATTTAATAGAATGGAGAGCCTTTGTTTTTGTTTTATTTTTGTTTTCATATAAAATCCACATACAAATTTTCTAACTAATGTTTTTTATCAATAATAATTATATAGCTTTAATTGAATTTGTATACAAGTTTAAAAAAAAAAATATAAAAAATTAAAAATCATTAAATTTTTGTTTTCATTCTCGAAAAAGCTGTAAATTGAAATTTAAAGAAATTAAAAATTTTAATTAATTTTTAAAAAATTTATAGCACTTATTTATTTCATTTTTTTTTTACTTAAACTTTTATATCGGGTTTTATTGGAACATTAAAAAATCAAAATTTTTTGTATAACTATTATAGACTTTTGTTTTATGTGTTTTTATTAATTTTTCATTATACTTTAATTTAAATAATAATTATTTACGAAAGTATTTATACTTTCGCAATTATCTTACGAATACGAAAGTATTTTAGAAATTGATTGCACATTATAATATGTACAGGAAATATTAATTTCTTTAATTTAAAATTATTTTAAAAATTTACGTTTACGTTTATAATACATTCATTGTATGCTTTTTCTGCCTTAAATTGCAATTCAATGTGTTTTCAATGATAAATAATTTTGTTTTATTTACTTATATAATTTAACAGCACTTTATAGAGGGTGTATAATACAAAAATATTTTGAAATAATTAATATTATTTTATTGTAAAATTTTAGGCATCTAATTAATACAAGCATCTTACGTAATGTAAGAAGTTTTTGGCTCTTTTTGAGATCAATTTTACATACAGATGCTAATTTATTATTATTTTGATTATTGCAACCCTCTTACATAGTGTGTCAATTAAAACTATAACTATATGTTTTGTAATTCAGTTCTTTAGATTATTATATTATTATTTTATTCGGATCCAACTTCTTTTGTATCATTTATAGTATCTTCATTCTTTATTATTGTTTGAGAGTTTTCATTGTTTTCAACAGAAGCAGAATAATTTGTTTCATCGCCTAACAGTTGTTTTCCTTCTTTATCTGTTTCATCATCAATATTTTTATTTACTGAATTATTATTATCTTCTGCTAAATTAATATTCGTTGTTGGTGCTAAAGCTTGTGATGTTGAGAGTTTTGTTCCCAATTCGTCTTGCCAATCTGGATTAACCCATTGTGGTGCATTTGCTTTTCTTCTCGATGATCTTTGTGATTGTGAATCTATTGTTGTGAATGTATTATTACTTTCATCTTCTTGATTAGATCTCTGATTTTGAAAAGTATCATTTGATGGAGATTTTAAATTATCATTTATATTACTGCTATTGTTATTTAGTTCATTTATGTCAGTGTTTGATCCTGTTTCATTATCATTGATATCCGTTTTACTATCTTCATCAATATAATCGTTACCAACAAGATCATTTTCCTTTTTAATTGTTGGCAATCCAGTACCAGTTGGATTACTTACTGATAGGTCTAAACAATTCATTTGCTCTTTGAAAGCCGCATTTAACACTTGAAGTTCATTTTCATTGGATGGAAGTAAACCACCGCCAATTAAAGCGGCTAAATTTGGATTTGCTGCGAAATACGGTGGATATAGTAATGGCATCCCACTTAAACCTAATTTTTCTTTTTGCAGTTCCATTAGTCTCTGACTCAATAAAATTTTGAATTGAACTGGATTTAACGGAGCTCCTGTTTGATTTTCACGTGATGGTATGGGTTCATTGGGGGCTCCATGTGGCATTTGCTGTTTTAAGCGCATGCGGTGATTGTGAAACCAATTAGTTATTGTTCGCGTGGCTAAACCTAGTTCATTTGCCAAAAACTCTATTGTTGCCACATTAGGATATGGATCGAGTGCAAACGCTAAACGTAACGCTTCCTTTTGTTCTTCGGAAAATAAAACACGTTGTTTTTTATTAGGTGGCGTACCAGAGGAGCCTACAGAATTTGGATCGGGACTATTTGTATAAAAATCATTTGTATCGTTACTATTTGAATCAGAATTATTATCATGACCGCCACCCATTCCAATCGAACGGCGTCTTTTACTAGCCTCTCGTTTTTCAGTCTTAATGGTTTGTAAACGTTCAACATTATTTGCGTCAGATAACCATAATTGCATTCGAATAAATGGCTCTCGACCTTTAATACTAAGCATATGCCATGGTTTTGGTTTTGATAGTAATTCAGAGACAGATCCTTGCGATAAGCCAAGTACAGCCTCGCCAAAAATTTTCTGTCCAATATTGTTTGCTAGCAAAGCCTCTTTAATACGCGTTGTAATAACTTGAGTATCTAGATCTTGTGTAAGTGCCGCCATTTCGTAAACAGTGGGTGAAACATGCTGGTTTTGTCCCCGCATTGAGTTAACTTGTTGTTGTATATGCGACGGTATCATTTGTGGTAATTGTTTTTTTTCTTGAGAATTTTGCAAATTTATTGCATGTTGTGGTGGTAAGCCTGGTGAAGTTAAAAGCATGCCTTGATGCGGACCACCAGCTCCTCCTCCTCCAATGCCAGGAGCGCCTGCTACAGAAGCAGCTGCTGCCGCCGCAGCCGCGGCTGATCCAGGAAATCTCGCCATTATCGAAGCTCGCATTTGTTGCATAATATGCTGCGGAAGCGATTCTGGAGAATTTTTCATATCGGCTAGACTTTTTGGTAATGGCATATTAGTCATTCCCTCAAGCTTTGGTACTAGGTTACCCGGTATTTGTGGACTTGTATTATAAGCACTCCCTGTACGCATTAGTTTTTCTGGTGCGATTTTATATTGACTAGCAACTAACTTATGTACAGCATTGTCATCTTCAAGAAACATTTGCATTCGAATAAATGGCTCTCGACCCTTTTGCGTTAACATATGCCACGGTTTTGGTCTGGCTAAAAGATCTGATACTGAACCTTGGGACAGGCCTAATATCGACTCACCAAAAAGTCTTTGACTGATTGAATATTGTGATAAAGCTTCTTTGACGCGACGAACAATATCTTCCGTGTTTAGATTATTATATAAATCAAATTGTTGCTGCGTAATTGGTGGCAAAACGGTTTTTGGTCGTTGTGGTGTTTGGTGGTGTTGCGGTATAGGTGGTTGTGTTATTAGTGAGTTTGTTATTGAGGCCATTCGTTGTAACGGACTTACAGATGTAGAAAAATCATCATTTGGAGTTATTGCAGGTGGAAGTATGGAATTTACTAATGGGCTTGGGGCTGACATCGGAGTGTCACTACGTGAAAAACTGTTGTTTGACTTATTAGAATCAAGTTGTTGCTGTTTTGTTTGTGATAAAGATAAATTGAATGAATCACGACTTAAATCGTTGGTATCATCAGGTTTTTGATTTGATTGCTCATTAATTGAATATGAATCTTTTGATTGATTATCACTGTTTGTTTTATTAGTATCTTTATCTTTCGATATTGATAAATCTTGCACAGACCCATTCATTGCTAAAGCATTTTGATGTTGTAATGCTAACAGACTGGGAAAGTTTTGAAGTTTTGCTAATTCCCGATGATAATTTTCTATTGCTAAACGTATGTTTTCATTATGCATTTGAGGACTTGGTGGCATCCCACCACTGTGGAATTGTGAAAAAAATGGACTAAGATTAGTTAGCGCATTTGTAGTCTGATAAATACTATAAAGAAAGAGAAATACTACTTTAATTACTCAAAAATACCTTGGAAATTCTTCCTTTTGTGATCTCATCATCATTTTAGCGAACTCTTCTTGATAACTTCTCGCAATTTTATCACGTGCTGCGAAATCTTCAGTTTTATTAAATTTGGTATTGTCTTTATAAATAGGTGATGAACATGCATTTGGTAAAGGCGAACGAGATTCTTCATTATGTTGCTGAACATCAACGTCTTTGCCAATGTCTATACTGTGCTCCATATGTGGTGTTTGATGATTTCCTCGGTTTAAAATAGAAGCAGCAGCAGTTGGTGTGTTAGATACTGAGTCAGGTTTCATACTGTGACTTCGTTCATCAGAGTCATACTGAGGAAATCCTGTATCTGGAGGTGGAAAATCATCTAATGAAAAATTTTTGTTAGATTTTGATTTTCGATTTTCTCTTGTAAATTTAAATTATAAGAATATTATTGTAAAATGGTATAGGTATGTCAGCAGTGACGTGCTTAATAAAATCTTAAATTATACAAATATTTAATACTGTAAGATTAAAATGTTACATTTATAAAATGTATCAAAAAAAAAAACAATGTTGTAAGTAAGATTAAAATTATAGAAGTAATTTTTAAGTTAGCTATTTTCTTTTTTAACCATAGCCACTGCTTTTTATTTGTAAATAATGAGTTTAGAAGTACAGATATGCAAAAAGACATTGAATAAAATATTTAAACTTACCCTTTTTGGGAATCATTGTCTTCAGCATTAACACAGCCGATTCATCACAGGCCCATGCATGCATCTTGCGATAACTATCACGTCCTTTTTCAGTTAATTTCTCCCATGGTTTTGGTTTCGATAAGAGTTCTGAGACTGTCCCTTGCGACAACCCAAGTACATATTTTGCAAATATTCTCTGACCTATATTATGAACTGAAAGCAGTTCACGTACTCGTCTAGATATATACAGGGTGTCCAAATTTTGATTTGCAAACTTATCAATATTATAACGCAACATTTCTTGCAGTTTTGCTTCTAGAGGGTCCGCTTTGGGTATAAGAGATTCCCCTAAACGAGACGTCATTGAACCATGCATTGGCAAATCATCGGGAAATTGAAAATTCGGACGATTTTGGAAAGGGAACGGTAATGCACGAAGAAATCCCCCTGGCATATGTTGTAATGGACTAAATATATTCGCACTTTGCATTACGGGATCGTTGTTTCCAACACCTGCACCATTTAAAATATCATTATTTCGTTGTTGCTGCTGGGAAACTGGTGATTGTGCTAATATATCTTCATTTCGTCGGTCATCTTGTAAACTTGGCGTGCTGGCTTTGGAGTCTGAAGTAGCACAACCAACACCACCACTGGCTAAGTTATTACCACCGGATTTATTTTCAAAATCCAGGGAAGATGTTTTGAGACCTGTACCTTCAACAAAATTAGCTAAACTGCTTAATTTATCGTTGGATTGGTAACTAAGATGATGTGGATGATGAAGTTGCATTGGATGTTGCGGGTGCTGCTGTTGAGCGGCGACCAAAGCTTTTGTGCGCTCAAATAAAAGTTCTTGAAAATCTTTTGGTTCGGACGGTAAAGGCGTGATGCTCGGCGCTGTTGTGATTGCCGGCGGTGGTGGAGACGAAACTATATCATTTTCGTCTTCAACATCACCTCCATCATCAGAAGCAGTAGCATCAATAATATTTTCTTTTTTAATTTCTATTTCTGTCGGTGGTAGAGTTGATGGAATTGGTGCTTCTACAACTTTAGCTTCTGGTGTCGTTGTCACATTTATTGAATTTTTTAATGGTATTGATGTGGTCGCCGTAGTTACCTTTTGTGATTCGTCCACTTGTATATTACATTCTTTTGATTCATTTTGCTTATGTTGTTGCTGTTGTTGTTGTAATTGTCTAGCTTCTAATCTAACTATTAGTTCTATTTTTTCTTTAATATTTTCTTGCAACTTTTCAATTTCTTTCGCTTGCTCTTCATTTAAAGTTTTTAAACGTAATACTTCATTTGCTAATATTTTAATTTCTTTATCTTTGGCAGCTAGTTCATCGAGTAATCTTTCGGTTATAGCAATACTGTTATTATTATTACTACTATTTAAATTATTATTATTACTATTATTACTATTGCTATTATTGCTATTCTTAGTATTATTATCGTTATTATTATTGTTATTTTCATTACTATTATTATTATTTTCGTTTAATTTTGATTGTGTTTTACAATTATCATTTAAACTAATTTTGCTAGCATCATTTGTAACCTGTTCAATTATTTTTAAATCTGGTGCAATTTTAAGATCTACTAAATTTTCTTCCATTTTATTATTATTGTTATTATTATTATTAGCTAATATATTTATATTGCCGTTTATAGTACTATTATTATTAATATTATTTGTAAGAGAGAATAATTTTTTATTAATGCTTATATTATTTGATGGACAATTATTACTACTTGTTGTACTACCAGTATCCGACAGAGGTGGTGATGGTGATGGTGCTTCAGCAATAAATGCACCGTTATTTTGTTGTGGTGTTGGTGGTATTGATATACTAATACGTGATGATAAATCAGTTGTAATAGGATTTGCCGATTGCTGTTTCAAATTTAATGAATTATTTGATGAGTTTGTACTTGGTGTTGTTGTTACTGCTGTATTTGATGATAATTGTTCTTTTAAATTATTAACTTCCTTTTCAGCTAATGAAGCTCTCTATAAAGTAGACGTTATCTTGTTAGATTTATTACATATATAATAGTTATTTAAATTAATAAATGAAATTTTGAAGAACTATTAAAAGTTTTAATATTCTTTGAAAAAGTTAAAATGTACTACACATCACTTCAATTTAATGGCATTAAAAATATAGTTTTACCTGTAAAATATCGGTTACAGAGGTCGTAGAACAAAATTTATATTATTATTTCATTAATTAAATGTTATCAGTTCATGAAAGTTCATGTAAACACATAAGTTGATTACAATTACTTTTCTATTATAATTAGAATTAACTGGAGATTTAAAAACTTGTTTTTTTAGTTTAAATCCTAAATATTGGTTTTCTAACGTCATATTTACTTGTCTTATTTACAATCATTCATTTTATTAGAATATAATTATCAGTTTTTGTGGGAAAAACGAGAAAACGACATAGGTAAAAGTTATTGGTTTCAAGTGAATCGAGTTGAAATTAGTGAACACCCTTCTGAAAATATTTTCAGAAGCATAACTAACACTAGTTGTGTAGTATTTAAGTCATAATTTTTATTTAACTATTAAGTATATACATTCTTTCTTAGTTTCGAAACTCTAATATTAAGATATATCAGAATATTGATTCTGATATAGATTTAGATTCGGGTTTTGCAATTTTTCTAGTTTGCAGCAAAAAACACTCCGTTTTTGTCGGTAGAATTGCAAAAGATCTTTTGCCAAATCGACAGCATAAAATTTTTCTGTTTTTATATTGAAAATCTTAATTAGTAAAGAACTCATTATTGAGAGAGTAGAGAGACATTATTTGGATTACACCAGAGTTTTTGCTTTCAGCTTTGTTTTAGCGCTTCTACTGCAGTACAGTGTTTATTCTCGCAGTCAGAATTGCAAATGAGAAATATAATCTATTTATCAAAGAGTTTTTTTTAGAAAACAAAATATTTAAAAAATAAATAGAGTATAAAGAATATTATCTGAATAAATTATAAGAAATCATAATTTTTTATATTTAAATAAATTCAAATGAAATAAAAATAGAACCACAAATTTTGTGTTTTTATTTTTTCATTAATATTTTTCAATTTTAATTTAAATTTTTTTGTTTTATTTAAAATTAATAGAAAAATACCAATGAAAAGCAAGGAAAAATTAAATATTTAAATGTTCTGTTTTTCTCACTTTTTTTTTTCAAAAATAAAATAAATAGCTATCTACATTGATATTTTTTTTTTTTGACTTTATAATTTCTAAAATATTATAATAATGAATGCCAATAAAATCATATTATATTTTCCAAATGAATCACTTGATGGAATGCGTAATACTTAAGAGCCGATATAAGTATGCATGTGTGTATAGAAATAAACTAAAGAATTAAATAAATTTTTTCCAAAACCGAAAATAATTATAATAAATCAAGAAATATACAAAACATATTTTCACACACATATATATACATAATATGTATATGTATGTACGTTGAATGTCCGTCCACAAAATGTGATTAAAGATATTTGTATAACTTATACATGTACATACTTAATATTGAATTTAAAAATCTAAAATTAAAAAATTTAAAATTAAAAATTTAAATTTTATTTGTATTTTCTTTTTATTAATTCAATTTCTTAATAACAAGTGGAGTGATAAAAGAAATCTAGATTCTATACTTTTATTTCCACATTAAAATGCTCACTTGGATATATTTCTCCATATTTATTGTATAAACATATGTATGTGTATTATAATTATATTATGTAGGTAAAATATATTGAATCTGTGTAGTTTTTAATTAAAGACGAATTTCCTAAAGGTGTTCTTTGAAATTTTTTTTATAATTTTAATACCTATGTGATGCATTAAATGACTACAGTTAATAATTCATTAAAATTACTTAAAAATATAAGAATAATAAATAATTACTAATGAGACAATAAATTTTTTAAATAACCACTTAATACAAGTATGTACACTTAATTAGTTTGTAAAAAGTTCTTTCTAATTTCTTAGAATATTTTTATTGAAACTTCAATTATTAAGAATGGTAATTTAAATGTTCGAGTTGAAAAATTAACGAAAAATATAAAAGAACTACTTAATCTTAAACTCAATATTCAATCTGCAAATTACTTTGATAGATAGAAAATTTTTTAAATTAATTAAGTTATACAAGATTTCAATTGATTCGAAATGTTCATTGAAGTACACTTAAAAATATTAAAACTCAAAATTAGTGATTAAAAATAAAATGGAATTGATAATAAGAATGTAAAATTATTATTTAAGACCAAGTAAATTTTTAAATAAAATTATTAACTATTGGACTTGTGTTAAATTTTTATAAAATATCGTAAAATAAATAAAATTCACTCCAAATCAGGTAAATTTAAAATGGACAAAATTACAAAAGAGAAAAACATCTCTAACATAAATTCACCAAAAATATTTAATGATTTTGAAAAATATCTCAATTTTAAGAATTTGAATAGAAATTTATTTAAACCAAGTAAAAAATTAATTAATTAAATAAAGGCTATCTTATACCGTTTTACAAACTCTGATTTTCAATTTTTAAAAAAATGAACACGATTAATATTAAAGGTACTTATTATAATTTTGGGAGTCTTTTACCCAATTGAAAATCGTCAATCCAATTGAAATTTTTTAATCATTTTATAGAAAATTTATATAGCATTTTCAGATATTGTAAAAATTGCAATTCAAAAATTTAGGGTTTTACACTTGAAAGAATATGGAATGGATTTATGGAAAGATTTAAAAACTGACTTAATTTTTAATGTTGTTATTAAATTTAATATTTTTAATGTTGTAATTTAAAAGGTCTAACAAAATTATTTATCATTATTTAAAATTTTTATTTTAAAGTCTGCTCATATATCCGCGTTTTAAATATTTAATTAAGAAAGCCATTTGTTTTTGGATAAGTGCTAAAACGAATTCGATAATATTTATTATTTTTGGATACCAATTATCTAAAAACTATTTTAATGCTATTTTATATTTTGGATGTCACATAAATATTTAGTTATATGGGCCTTATAATTCAAGATATTGTAAAAAAATTAAAATTTAGTAATGAGTAAACGTAATAATTGAAGACAAAAAATACTTGCAAAAAAAAAATCCATTTTTTATAATATTTAAATATGTAGATTTTAAACAATTTCGGGTTCTTATACAAAATTTCAATAAAGATGCAATTTTGAGATTCATAGTTTATAATTTCAATTATAAAATTCCCAAATTATAAATTTTTGTTGAAAATATAATTTAAAGTGCTTGTACATTTTAAAATAAAATTAAATTAATTATAAAAAGAATACAAATTCGAAATGATCAAAATTTTGACCAATTAAATATTATACCATGAAAAAATTTCATCTCGTTTTCATGGAATATGTTATGTAATAACATTAACTTATTGTATTGGAAATATACATATGTATTTTAAAAATTCAACATATTGACCCCAATTGAGTATAAGTTTCGAAACATATGTTTACAATGAATTTTTAACAAACAATATACGAGCATATACAAAAATTTATGTATAAAATTTTCAATATCATTTAATATTACAAAAATAAATAATTTTATTTTTTTTTTCAAATTATTTAGAAGGACATTTTTTAAAAGGAATATAAATACCCATAAGTATTTCCTATATATACATTATTAAGAAATAATAGACGCCCATGTATTCATACTTTTGATTATTTTAATATTATATTATGTAAAAAATTAAGTGATTACAATTAAGTAAATCAAATTAATTGGAGAAAAACAGTCACAAAATTAATAATTATATAAGAATGGAAAAATTTTTGGACAGTTTTAAAATAAACTATAAGCAAAATTCTCTTAGTGGTTTGTGTTTCGATTCTATATATAAGTAGTACAGAAACAAATATTAAATTACAAGGATATTCAAAGCTTCATTAAAAAAATATAATCTTATTTTATGCATAAAAGTAATTTCTATACACACACTTTAACTCTTTACATAATCTTAACAATTTAAATGAAAAATACACAGGAACACAATTTTCAAATTTACATTAGAAATATAAATTAAAAATAAGGGTATAGTAAGAACATTAAGAATTAAATTGACTGTTTTAGATTCCATTTAAAGTAATGGTCTAATTTTTAAATTTTTTTAAAATTTCTAAAACAACTTATTCCAAAATATCTGTACTAAACATTACACTTTGTTTAGATTACAACACGAAAAAATATTGACAAAACTCACAAAATTAAAAAAATTAAACCAAAAAAATTATTTTTTTCCGACGGCATTTCAAAAAAAAAAAAAAAAATTTTTTTTTATAAAAATTGAAATTGACGGCATTGACAAAAAAAAAAAAATTAAATTTAAACTTACCTGTTGCCAAAATTGTGCTAATAAATAGATTCGTTCTTTTTTTAAAAACCAATCCATTGATTGAACAGCCGTTAAATCCATATCGGCTGTTCCACCGTTCGTTTGTGGCGAAGATGGCTGCATTCGTTCAAATATTTTTAATTTTTTTCATACATATATAACTTTTAAGTAATAATTTATTTATTTTTGTTTTTTTTTGATACTAAAAATTTGTGATTGATTTTATAAGAAAATTTGTTTTTCTAAAATACCATATAATTTTTTTTTTAATTTTTATTTTCTTTGTATGTTTATGAAAAAGTTGAATAAAAAATTTTAATAAAAAATAATTGATTAATAACACCAACCATTTTTAAAAAATTTTTTTTTATTTTAATAATTTAAGCGTATTTTTTATATTTTTTTTATAAAACACTATAAATTTTTTTGTATTAATTAATTAAATTTCATCGAATATGAAATTATTAGAGAAGATGGAAAAAAAAAATTAAACCAAAAATTATAAAACAAATAAAATCGAAGATATTTTTTAATTTATTTCCTTTTTGATTTAAAATTTGATTAAATTTTAAATTAATTAATTAATTAATTGTAACACATTTTATTTATTTGATTTGAATTATTTTAATTATTTCATATTAAATAATTTTTCTTATTTCATTTAAACTTTTAATATTTTTTATATGTTTTACAGTTAAGATAAAGTATATCCTTAGAAATATACGAATAAAATTGCTTATCTTGTTATCAAAGTAACATTTTGATTAATTTTCCTTTTTTTAATGTAATATTTTTTTTCTTCATAATCTTCTTTTATAATATTTTTATAATACCGACTATACTTATTCTTTATTTTCTATTTCTTATTCATTTATTCACTAAAGTAAGTATAATCAAATACTTTTGTTGTTAATCACACAATTTTTTTAATATTATGTGATTTGCTTTTAATATTTTTATTAATATAATTACAATTATTTTTATTATTTATATACATTTTTCTTTTACTTTATTATTTTATTCAATATATTTCGATTCGATTATATTTAATTCTTGATATATTTTTATATACTAAATATATTTCTTGTATTAATTTAAAATTTCATTAATAAAACTTTAAATAAAAATTATAATGAACAAAAATTTTTATTTTTTTCTAATTATTTTTAATTATTAGTTTTTTTTTTTATTTATTTTATTAAATAAAAATCACAAATTTCACAGTTGTATTTCAATTTTATATAATATTTTAATAATTGGAATTTATAATAAAAAAGAAAATTGTTTAAAAAAAAAAAAGCAAAAAAAAAAAAAAAAACGAACGTGTTACACAAATAAACAGTAAAATAATTGCAACATAAAATTCCGTTACTCTCAAATATGTCAAATGATTTGTTGATCCATCAAAATATACGAAAAAAAAAAACTTAACAAACTTGTTTTTTTTTTTGTTTCTCTATGTTTTATTTTTAATTTTTTGTTGAGATGAAAAATTTTTTTTAAACTTTTATTTTTAAAATAATTAAAATATTTTTTTTTTATTTTATTTTATTTTAAATTTTGCATTAATTAATTTTTTTTTTGTTATACATGTGTGTATAATTTCTATTTTTTTTTTCTGTGTTGTTGTTTATTTCTCCTTATTATAATTATTTATTTATATATATACCCATATATATCATATATATATCTGTGCAAAATTCTAATATATCATTTCTAATTATTATTAAAAATTCCGAAAGACAAAAACAATAAATAAAAATTATTGTTGAGAAAATAAAAAAACGAAGAGCTCAATTTCAATTTTGTTCTTATCCGTTTTGAGTTCAATTGATGACTGAATTTTCAATATCGTAACTAAGACCAAACCAACAACCATCTTGTCAGAATCATAGGAAATGAGACATATAAATGTTGCTTTTCTGTTTGTTGAATTATATCTACAATTTTTTCGTTTTTGTTTTTTTCATTTATTTTTTTTTTCTTCTTTTATTTATTTTCCTCTTATTTTTTCTTATAATTTTTTTTTTTTATTATAATTTTATTTTACTATACCAGCAACAACAATATAACAGCATATATAATCAAAAAAAAAAAAGAAAATAAGAAACAACCAAAATTTATCCAAAGATATATTCATGTTCGCATGTATCTCAAAAAAAAAAATAATATAAAATAACATTAAAAAAAAAAAAAAGTGCAAAAAAAAAAAATTACGAATATCGAAGTTGAACCGAAAAAAAAAATACATACAATTTTTTTTTTTTTATAATAAAAAATAATAAAAATTATAACAAAGCAAAAAAATAAGAAACAATAAGAGAAAAAAAAAAAAACAGAATAAAATAAAAGTATCGAAGAAAAGAATGTCACGAGTAAAATAAAAGTAATAACGAAAACAGTAACAGCCAGCAACACCAAATACAACAACAATAACAATAATAATGACAACAGCAACAAAAACAACAAAAAATTACAAGAAGAGGAAGAAATAGACGAGAAATAATAAAAAAAATAACAAGAACAACAAACACACATAAAATACAAAATAAGAAAATCAAAAAAAAAAAAAAAAATGTCAAGACTCTAGATACTTTAACAGTCGCGCGGAGTACCTATACTTTTCCTATAAGATATGTAATTTCGTTCGTTCGATTCGTATGTTACATACTTTACATTATCGTATACACAATATAATAATAATATAACACACAATCATGTAAACAATGAGAAAATATTATAAAATAATATGCTCTTTGCCTCTCTACTCTACCCAATGCATGTTACTCTTTATAATATTACCTTCTTTTATATTATAATATTATCTATATACTACTATGTATAATATTATAATATATTTTAATATTATATGCTCATATATCAACACTATTTGAACTTTATCTATATAGTTTATAAGTTATACATTTTATTCATATTTTTATACATATACTCGTATGTATATTTAATAATTTTTTGATATATTAATATATGTATACATATGCATGTAAGTATAACAATATCTATAATTATTACTATTATAATTTTCCTTTTTTTTAACATTTTTTTCTTTTCTGTCAGTTTTTAGTGATGTGATATATTTTTATTTTTTTGCTGTTGTTGCTGCTGATTTTAAGATTATTTTTCATATCTTTTTGTTTTTTTTGTGTGTTCTCGCAAAATTTCATTTATTGTATGTTATACGTAGTAATATGTACATGTATATGTATAATTTTTTTTCTGATACAATAAAAATAATTTTTTAACTCTCTTTATTAAATTGTTATATATTTGTATAATATTATAGTAATATTGCTATAGAGTAAAAAATGAATATTTTTATAAATTATATTAATGTAGCATAAATTATTTTAAAATTGAAGAGCGAATTTTACTCTCATTTTGAGATCGTACATCTTTTTATTAATAAAATTTGACATTTCGAAAAAAAAAAAACGAACAAATAAAATAATAAGAGTTCTCAAATCTCAAAGTAAAATAGAAAAATGAGATGAAGATAAAGAAAAATAGTAAAAGAAGAACAAAAAATTAAGAAAAAGAGAATAAAAGAAAATGGTAAAAGAGAGCAAATTAGATGACTTTTATTTTTAAGAAATGCTCTTCGATTTAAATAAAATTGAAAACAAAAAAAAAATAATAAGAATACCATTATATTATTTAAGTAATCGAACTGTAAAAGAAAAATGTAAAAAAAAAAATTGTATGATTGTAACTTTTACGTATTTACTAGTATATGTGAATAATGTAAGGATATAGGTTAAATAAAAATTTAAAAAATTGAAGTTAAAAATGTTAAAAATCATTTTAACAGACAATCATGTAAAATTTCTAATAATAACATTAGTTTAACTGAATATGGCATCGTACAGTTGTTTTCGAAATTATAACAAACGTTATATTATAAAACGTTTAACATTAACAAGTACATTTTACTTTTTCTCTTTTATATGCTTAACATTTACTTAGCATATTGAATACTAGAGTTTATTAACTTATTTTACATGTTAATATTTTACATTTTATTAACATGTTAATATATAATGATTTCTGGTTTTGAATTATTTTTGAAATGCGGACAATGTTAATATAACAATGATAAGTAAGTAATAATATTTACAATATTAATTAATTTTGAAATTCTAGAAGGGCATTTTGATTAAATTATGAGAATCAAATCAATATTTCGATTTTATATCGATTCAAATTTTCATAGTACAATTTATGAATTAAAATTGAAATGAATAATTTAAAAAAAAAATTAAAATTGTATTTAAAATATTTTAATTAAACATTTAATATTAGTTAAATTTAATTTTAAAATATAGTCTAACTATAATTAAATGTTTGTATATGAAAACAATTTGAATAGTTTAAGTACACAAATGTGTCAGCTATACTTTCCTATAGCATGATATAATAATCTTTTCACAAATATTATTTACTCCATTGAATGTTTTATGTCATGAAAATTTTATGTCATGCTCAATGAAATTTGTATAATTCTGTTATAGTAAATGTTTATTTTATGTCATGACAGTAAATTAAATTTTTTGTAATTTATGTTGCATTAAGATAACGTTTTTTTGTTTATCATACTAGAAAGATGCAACTATATTTCCGTTAATAAAAATAAATTTTATTTCATATCGTAAAATTTTATTCAAAATTTTTGTATTACACCTATATGATTTTGTTACAGTATAATTAGTTATAAATAACTTGTATGAAATGTTGTATGACATACAATTTTATAATTTTATGTATGAAAGTAGTTTATTCGGTGTCGAACTTCATGCATACATTTCCAATGAATTAATGTATATAAATACGTGATTTTTAATTTTTTGTTCGATATAAAGTGCATTTATGTAATTTATATATCTGTATTATGAAACATTTCATGTATTGCTCTTTGGATAAGGTAAGTAATATTAAGTTTGTTAATGTACAATAATAAATTTTGTTAATTTTTGTAGCTCAATACATTGTATACATGTTAGTTTAAGTATTGAAGAGAAATTTAAATCAAATGAACGAGTCAAGGCAGAAAAATTTCACAAAGGCAATGACCCACCGCTTTCTAGGCGGACGTTCTGCCAACTGAGCTACAGAGGTATGAAGAAATTGCCAGTAAATTGTGACAGAGGTGTAAAAATAACAAAATTTATCTGCCTTTATCCGTACCTTTGATTACGTAATATGCAGTTGTATGAAAAAATGTTCATTTTACTTATTCTTATAAGAATTAATAATGAATATAAACAATTACACATCGTATTGGTAATTAGTAATATAACAAACATTTAATAATAGTTTTAA